GGCCCGCCCGTGTGCCCCGGGCAGCTGCGCTCGGCAGCTCTGGCTGTCCCGAAGCCATCCCTTCCCATTCTGTCCCCAGTGTGCCTCCCGCCCCCCCACCACCAAACACTCCGAACAAGGACACGACAGATGACGAGCCACCCCTTAACGCTGCTGCCTGGTTCTGTAGCAAGGGTGAAGACCTGGGCACAGACTGACAGACGACAGGACAGAGGCAGCAGAGGACAACACGTATTTGGGGGAGAGGGGAGCATGGCCGCAGGGACAGGCAGGGATGACAAACTCCGCAGCCTCGGCTTCCCGCAACGGGATGTCCACACTGCGCAAGGGAAAGGCAAGGACAACAGTGGCACGACGTCATGGAGAGGCCAAGACATACAGACGAGCAGCTCACTAGGCAAGATACTGAAAGAAGCGTTCATGAGAGCCAAAGCCTGTCACCACCGGAGGCCCAAGGACATGCCCTCAGCACCCAAATGCGCGGGGACCTGCTGGTACCAGAGGGGGCAACCCCACACCACCAGGACTCGGTTCCGCTGAGGCGGCCCTGAGCCCTCAGCTCTCGGTCCCACCCCACCAACACCAGTGCCCACGACCTCCGCGAGGGCTCCTGCCTCTCACTTCACACCAGGGCAGAACCGCATCTCAGCCCTGCCCGCTCCCCTCGCAGGGGCTTCAGCTCCTCATCAGAAGTTGTCCTCAGACGGAAACCACTACACTTTCTGGCGAGAGAACTGTACATCTCAACGACATCCAAACTAAGGAAGCTGGGGGCTGCAGATCTGGGAGGAAGCAATAAAAGAGACCTGCCTTGCCTGGCCTAGGCTATGAAAATATTGGGGCTCCACAGGACAAGCAAGTTCTTACCTTAAGCAGTGGTGGATTTTGAGCTACTAACTCAAGCAAAAGTCTGTCAACAGGATCACCAGAAGGATTCTGTTGTACAGCAGCCTCCCATGAGAGGACAAGGGGTAAGGGCTTTAAACTGAAAGAGTGCAGATTTAGATTAGATGTAAGGAAGAAACTCTTCACCGTGGTGCGAGCAGTGAGATCCTGGCACAGGTTGCCCGAGAAGCCGTGGCAGCCTCCCACCCGGAAGAGTTCAAGGCCAGGCTGGACAGGGCTCGGAGCCGCCTGCTCTGGTGGGAGGGGTCCCTGCCCAGGGCAGGGGCTTGGAATGAGATGGTCTTTGAGGTCCCTTCCAACCCAAACCGTTTCACGACTCTATTTGAGCTCTTTGCTTTCTCTGAGGAGTGAAGCAGCCTTGACTGTCCCTTTGCACCTTCACAGTCTGAATTCCCCAAACAGGGACGAGTGAGCTGTGGGATCCGTGCCGATACACGAGGTCTCACAGAATGCCTCAGTACAGATCACCCTCCGCTATTCCATGAGAACAAAGGAACAAGAGCCACCCGTCCCAAATCATTGGGAAGTTGTGTCTCCTAAGCGTGGGAGAGGTGAGGAATGACCATCAGCTGCACCAGATGAACCGTTTCAGAAGTCAAGTGACAGCAGAGAATGAAAATAAATTTTGATAAGTTAAGTTCATGACAAGCTGGAGCTTTTAAGGAGCTCAATACGGAAAAAAAATAAAGGGACATCAATGTATTATGCAGTTACGAGTTCAGTGTGGAATCCCATCTACCTACCGGGCTCAGTAACCTTGAAAACTCAAAGCATCACCCATTTTGGTGTGACATTCAGCTCTTCGGCGAGATCACTTGGACTTGTTCAGAGCCATTGTTGGGCACAAGTTCCACCAGACTAAGCACAAGAGCTTCAGTGTGCGGTAAGGACCTGACAGCAACACTGAAATTTCTTTGACCATTCATTTTGATCTCATGTTTGCCTGAGAGATCTGCACCTTGAGTATTGTGTTCAGTTTTGGTCACCTCAGTACAGGAGAGATCTCGAGGTGTTGGAGCGAGTGCAGAGGAGGGCAACAAAGCTGGTGAAGGGCCTGGAGAACAGACCTTGTGAGGAGCGATTGAGGGAGCTGGGTCTGTTCA